CCTCCATACTCTGTAAAGTTATTTATTATTTATTTACACTTTATTGCAGCTTAAGAAAAAGAATTACAAAGGTCGGACTTAATGCCCTATATATATATATATATATATATATATATATATATATATATATATATATATATCCCAACAATACCTGGTAAAAGTAGGTCATTGATGTGCAGCAGGAAAAGAATCGCAGAGAGAACAGACAGAAGGGGAGCCATCTATGACTAACCTGATCGACCGTTCACTCAGAAAGTCAGATATCCAGATGCAAAATGCGGCGGGAATACCGTATACAGGAAGCTTACTCAGCAGACTTGCGTGCCTAACCCTTTCAAAAGTATTTGTGATATCGAGTGAAACTGCGAGAGCTTCACCGTTCTTCTCGGTGGCCTTAATGGCCTGATGGCAAAAATGCGTGATATATACAAGAAGAACCCCAGTGAACTTTCTCCGGTGGAAACCATATTGGTTGTCACTGAGGATGTTATTTGTTACAAGATATGCCAGCAGCCCATTATTCTAATTCCTTCCATAACTTTTCATATATAAGCATAACCTGATGAGTACTTTTCAGTCCCGGTTTCGTCCTGGTCACAGCACTACATAAAATAACTAAGGATATTAGAAAGGAAATGCAAAAGAAGAAGGTTACAGTTATGGTGCTCGTTGCCTTTTCTAACGCTTTTAACACTGTTGACCATGATATCATTCTTGCTATCCTTTCTTATTTTAGGTTTGCACCGTCAGTCCTGGAGTGCGCTTAAGAATTATTTCTTTAACGCATGATAGAACTTTGCGTTCCTCATATAATAATAAACTACATTTTACTACTTTTTACTAGTATCCCACTACATTTTACTAATTTTGTTGGTAAATACTTCACCATTCAGGCTGCATTGCTCTGAAACTACTTGGCCGACAACGTTAAAAAAAACTAATAAGACTGCCTTTAAAAGATTATTACATAAGCACTTTATGAAGATATTAGATGACAGTTAAGGGCCTATAGTACCTCAAATGGCTTAGCAAGAACCTCCGTTATGCCGAAAATATAATAATAATATAATAGTAATAAAGCCCGTTTTTATTTCCGATTAACATTTTTGATACAGTTTCTTGACTTAATATAGGGTGTAATTAGTATTTAATTCATATATATATATATATATATATATATATATATATATATATATATATACATATATATATATATAGTATTATATAAAGTTTAATTTTACTTTTAGTTTATTTATTTTTGTTTCATTCACTATCATTATTTTCTTCACCATTGATCGGATCCCCTTCTCGGGTATAGGCCTCCTCCAGCATTTTCCAGACCTTTTCACCGTTAGCTTTCTTTCTTCATTCGTTTCCTGTTGTCGCTTCTATTTCGACTATCCACTTTGCTCTGGGGCGCCCTCTTTTTCTTCTTCCCTCTGGACCTTTCCATATGATTGTCTTTAGTGTCCATCTTTTGTCTGTGTACCTTACGATATTATGTCCTGCCTACTGCCATTTCTGCTTTAGTGCATGATGTAAGGCGTCTATAACTTCAGTTCTCCGTCTTGTTTTTACGTTTTTTATTTTTTGTATTCTTTTTATTTTTAATACGCTTCTTTCCATTGCTTTTTGACATGCTACTAGTTTGATTTCTATTTTTGTGTTGTATGTCCACGTTTGGCATCCGTATGTAAGAGTAGGTAAGACGCAGGTATCCAAGAGGATTTTCTTAAGGTGGAGGGGAAATTCACCTTTTGATATTTCCTTCAGGGTCCAAAACTTTTTCCAACTCATGTTAATACGCCGCTCGACTTCTATAGATAGTTGTTAGATATTTATATAGATATTTTATATAGATATTGTTACGCGCTCCAGTCAACGATACACTAGCGCCATCTAGTGTCAGGAACGAGAGCGAGGGGAGCATTGAGAAAATGACATCAAAAATCACTCAACCGACAGCGCCTAGTCGAAACTCGAACGCTCGGTACCTTGCGCGGGTTTACTTGAACATTCTGGATATTTCTTTGCTAATTTATATAACTAGGCGCTGCAAGATGCGATCGTTGTAGTGTTGATTTGGCGAAACAAGCGAAGCTTCGGAGCGGAATAAAGTGAATAAGTGTGTTTAATTATTAGTGTTTTTAACTTTAATTTGTGTAAAGTAAATTAAAGTGTTAATTTAGGTAATTTTATCGGCAATTTTTATTGTCACGAACCACAAGCTCGTAACAATTGGTGTCAGAAGTGGGATAAAATCATGCCGATTTTACCTAAGGAGGAAACGGAGGGTGTTCGTACCCGCAGTCAACGCCAGCATGAGACGGACCAGAGAAGATTTGGTGGTGCAACGCCGCAGACGTCGGAAGGCCAGCCGCCGGCAACGGAGGCCGGTTCGTCAGTAGCTCCTGCATCTGCAGCACCTGATTTAGGTGCTCTGATGGCGATGCTACAGGAGCAGCTGCAGCGCGGACGAGAGGAACAGGCCCGTCTGTTGAAAGAGCAGCAGGAAGAACAGGCTCGCCGACAGGAGGAACAGGTCCGTCAGTTGAAAGAGCAGCTGCAGAGCGGACAGGCAGAACAGGCCCGCCGACAGGAGGAACAGATGCTTCTCATGAAGGACCTTCACGCTACCTTCGGGAAAGAGATAAGGGAGGTGAAGGATAAGGTTACTCAACATGAAAACCGCCTGTCGGAAGCTGAAACCCGAATTGACCAAGTGAACAATCGGGTTGACAACGTAATGGCTGACATGAGGAAATCACTTGACGAACTCAAACTTGGGGAGGGAAATACAGCTCCCGTAGTAGCTACTACACCTTCGCTACGTGGGTTCAAGGTGCCACCATTCGACGGGACTTCTTCCTGGTCAGCCTACAAAATCCAGTTCGAAGCTGTTATGAAGGCGAACGGCTGGAATAACAGTCAGGCAATGACTGCTCTGACACTAGGCCTGCGCGACCAGGCCTTAACAGTTCTGGAAGCTCTCGGGGAGGAAGTGACTTATGAGCAACTCCTTGAGGCATTGGAGGCGAGATATGGCGACGCTCACCTGGAACACGTCTTTCGTGCGCAGCTTAAAGATCGTGTGCAGCGCATCAACGAAAACCTGCAACAATGGGCTCTAGAAGTGGAGAAGCTGGTGCGAAAAGCATACCGGTCTGTACCTGCGCTCATTGAAGGGAACCTGGTGCAGACATTCATCGACGGCATCCGCGACCTGGAAGTCAGAGCTGCTGTGAGGCTCGGGCACCACGAGACGCTTAAGAACGCCTTGGCCCATGCACTGGAAGTGGAAGCCGTGCGGCAGGATCATCGTTCCCATCGCGTCAGGGAGGTTGCGGCAGCTACAGTTCGCGACCGCAACAAAGGATACAGCCCTAGGTGCTATGGCTGTGGGGAAAAAGGCCATCTTCGAATCAGCTGCCCTAAGCGAACCGTGGAAAGGAGAGTTGATCGATCTCGAGAGGGTAGTGCAGCTAACGACACTGCCTGGCGGCGACAGGATCATCGTTCACCTCACGCTAGGGAGGTTACAGCAGTTACGGTTCGCGACCACAATAAAAGATACAGCCCTAGGTGCTATGGCTGTGGGGAAAGTGGCCATCTTCGGTCCAGCTGCCCTGAGCACACCCTACGAAGGGAAGGTGAACGGTCTCAGAAAGGAAGTGCGGCTAACCGCACCGCCCAGCAGCAGCAGGAATACGACTTTACTATCAGACACTGCAGCGGGAAATCTCACGGAAACGCAGATGCAATGTCAAGAAGACCTTCTCCTGAAGATTGCAACCATTGTAGTAGGCAAGAGAGTAAGGAGGTGGTATCCGTGAGGATGCTCAGGACAGACCACCTCAGCAACGGGTGGAAGGACAACCTACGACATGCACAGCAGGAAGATCCGGACATCAAGCCGATTCTGGGATGGATGAAGGCCCGTGCTACCAAGCCTAAGTGGAGGGACGTCTCAGCGATGAGTTCAACCACGAAAAGCTATTGGGCCCAATGGGACAGCTTGCTGATTCAGGATGGAGTCCGGTGCCGTAAATGGGACAATGGTCGAAGAGACAGCTGTCGTTTGCAAATGGTTGTCCCTAAAGCTAAAGTGCCGAATGTTCTACAGTTGTGCCATAATGATCGTTCAAGAGTCCATCTGGGAGTTAAACGAACTCTACTGAAGGTCCGAGAACAGTTTTACTGGGTCCATTATCGTGACGATGTCGAGGATTGGTGTCGTACATGTACAAGTTGTGCGGCCGAGCGGGGACCTCGAACACGTAGTAAAGGAGCACCGAAATTGTACAATGTTGGTGCACCACGGGATAGGACAGCCCTTGACATTGCGGAGCCGTTACAGAAAGGCGCAAGAGGGACTCCTAAGATCGTCCATGTGAATCGCTTGGCGCGTTATTATGGGGCCGATAATGCTCGGGACGAGCATGTCTTAGGAGGGGGCAGTGTTACGCGCTCCAGTCAACGATACACTAGCGCCATCTAGTGTCAGGAACGAGAGCGAGGGGAGCATTGAGAAAATGACATCAAAAATCACTCAACCGACAGCGCCTAGTCGAAACTCGAACGCTCGGTACCTTGCGCGGGTTTACTTGAACATTCTGGATATTTCTTTGCTAATTTATATAACTAGGCGCTGCAAGATGCGATCGGAGTAGTGTTGATTTGGCGAAACAAGCGAAGCTTCGGAGCGGAATAAAGTGAATAAGTGTGTTTAATTATTAGTGTTTTTAACTTTAATTTGTGTAAAGTAAATTAAAGTGTTAATTTAGGTAATTTTATCGGCAATTTTTATTGTCACGAACCACAAGCTCGTAACAATATTTCTATTTATATACATAGTTGTTTTCCAAGGTAAATGTAATTGTTCACGTATTCAAGCGGCTTGCCGTTTAGGTATATAAGTTTTGTAAGACTGTTTGTTAGTATCTTAGTTTTGTTCTTATTCATTTTGAGGCCTACTTTTTCGCTTTCCTCGTTTAGAGTACTTATCCTTTTTCTTCTAATCTCTTACTTGTCTCAGCGAATAAGACAATATCGTCCGCAAATCTGAGATGTGTAAGTTGATCTTGGTTAACTCTGATCCCTTCTGACTGCCAGTTGAGATTGTCAAAAATGTATTGTAGAACCAATATGAACAGTTTGGGTGAGAGAGGGTCCCCTTGTCTCACTCCTCGACAGATCGGTATGTTGGGACCTCGTGTTTCCAGTTTGACTTGACTTACACTGCCCTCATAGATGTTCTTTAGTACTCTTACATAGTTTTGGTTTATGTGGTATTTTTTCATTGCTTCCCAGATAGCGTTTTGAGAAATCGTGTCGAACGCTTTAGCATAATCAATGAAAGCAATGTACAGAGGTCTGTTGAACTTTTTGTATTTCTCCATTACTTGTTGCAGAACTTGTATATGGTCCGTTGTGGAGAACCCAGAGCGAAACCCTGCTTGTTACACTGGTTGATATTTATCAATCTCGGGGCTCAACAGGAACAGTTTATACACACTTGAGAGAAAACTAATCGGACGGTAATTAGAGATGTCCTGGGGGTCTCCTTTCTTATATAGAAGTGTGTGCAGAACCTTGTTGAACAGATGCGTGAGTGGGCTTGTAAGTAGGATACTGCCAGCCTTGATTGCCTCATTTTGTATCCCGTCAGGACCAGGACTTTTGGCTGCTCTGAGTCTTCTGATGTGCTTGGTGACTTCCTGCTCGTCTACTGGTGTCAAATCGTTTAGGCATTGTAAATCTGCTGTAGCAACGTCAGTTTTGCACGAAATTGGTTTTGTGTATAATTGCTTGTAAAACACTGTGGCACATTCCATGATATCTTTTCTGGTTTTTGTTTCATTTGATTTTGATTTTAAGCCCTGAATCCAGTACTTATACGTGGTCAACTTCTTATAAGCTTTTGTCATGCTTCTGAAAGTGTTTAGGTTGTTCTCAATAATTTTGTGCCTGTAATCTTTATAGTCTTTATCTATTGCTTTACTTGTAGTTTTCAACAACGTGCTCAGTTCCTTCTTCATTTCTTTCGTTTTTGTTTCATTTTCAGAAGTTCATTTCGTCTTGTGAGAAGAGCTTTAGTAGATTCGCAGAAGTATTTTGTTGATCGATTTTTGTTTTTTATTTTCTGGTCTGCGTGCAAGGCTGGTATTGATGATTTCTGCTAATTTATTGTAGAAGGTTTGTGTGTCTTCTTCTTGTTCTGTTTCTAGTTGGTGAATGTTGATCTCTAGGTTTTCCAAGTATGACGATATATCTTCTTCCGTTTTCATTGTTTTTGGTTTCGTTTTAAATGCTGTTCTACTCCTTTTCCCTTGGCCTAGCATGTATGTAGCTCTAACTAAGCGGTGATCTGATGCTAATCTAAAGCCATGTAATACTTCAACGTTTCTAATTTTCGTGGGGTGGTTTGATAGTATAAAATCAATTTCGTTTCATGTGTTCCCACATCCCGTCCATTTGCGATTTTCATTTTTCAAAGCTAGGAAAAACCGCAAATTGAATTAGTTTATCATCTCTTTCATTTCTGCTTCCGTATCCAAATTTTCCTAAAACAAAGTTTTCACTGCCTGTTGTATTGGATTGAGCAACTTTAGCATTAAAATCGCCAATAAAAAGTACATTATCACCTGCCTGATCATAAGCTATCTGCAGAGTTTTATAAAATGAGTTTATTTCTTCATCTGTTGCCTTTTCAGTAGGTGCATATACTTGTATTATTGTAACCAGTTGGTTGTTGTCATTCATTTTTAACAGAGCCACCCGCTCTGTGAGAGCTGAAAAACTAACGATATTATTCTTATGTTCTTTACTTATTAAAAAACCAACTCCATTTAATCCGAGTGTTTCGCCTTTATAATAGTGTGGCTTTCATGTTCTTCTATTGCATAGCCCAATCTTCTGACTTCTGCCAAACCAAGTATATCGATTTTTATTTTTTTGTAGCAAATATGTAAGTTCTATAAATCTTTTAGTAGAAGCTAGTGATCTCACGTTCAGTGTTCCCATCGTGAGGGGTTGTTGTGGTTCTTTTATTATTTTGATTGTTTTTTCAATGTAAGCTGGAGGGTTGTGGTCTTTTTCCCCATGGGAACCAGCCGGCTTGGGGGAGGGTGTTTTATTTCTGAAATTATTTTGTGATTTTTATGCCGAAAATACAGCAGCATTAGTTTTGAAATAAATATATGGTAAAGTTGGGGTTTAATATTAAGTACTATGTTAGACGAAATCACGATTCCGTAAAATTTTGTCGATAGAAAAAAAAATCTAAAGTTACTTCCAAACCGAACAATAAACCGCTGGTATCCACATACAAATACTTTAAATTAGATCATAAAACTTTGCACACTAACTGAAGTAACTATAAAGCAGGGCTTATGTTTTTTATTTTTTTAATTACCATTATTTTCACTGTAAAAAGGCATCACACTTGTTCACTACCGTCTGAACCACCCGATACTCCCAGTCAGTCTCGCTTCGGCTTTCGAACGAGAAAGCTTTGTCGCTTACGATCAGAATGCACATTACGTAACAGGACGACGTAAAATTAAAATTGGAAATAACCGTAATAAAAATAAGAAGCGATGTATTGGCGTAAAGAAATAGGCATAAATATGATAAACCTCATGAAATAAGTATCCAATGACCTATGTACATAAAGTATTAGTGATTGTAAACATGTCGGTAGATAGCATATGACGCGCGGGGAGGTGGAGTCGAAATTAGAATTTGGGCTGAGGTAGTTACTATAGGCCCTTAATATGGTCATTGGTTACCTTTGTTGTTATTTTATTTATAGCTTCATGTTATATATCTATGTATTTTTAAAATATGTATATATGTATCTATGTATTTGTATGTAAACATAGTTAAATATAAACCGGCGACGAGGTTCGCCACCCGTCACGTTCTGTCTCCCGGAGAGGCGAAAAGTGGATTGCAGAGGCCCGTCTGACTACGTTGAATGTATGAATGATAAAATGGATGAAGTATGCGGTATGATGTATGATAGAGGAACAGATGTGTTATGCGTAAATGAGACGAAAAGGAAGGGGAAGGATGTCACTACACATGGCATGTATACCGCATACTGGTCTGGTGTAGACGAGATCGAGCGGGCATGGCAGGGAGTAGGTATCATCCTTTCAGAAAGAATGGGCCAATGTGTGAAAGAGTATGAATGTGTAAGCCCAAGACTGCTATGGATACGAATGAAAGTGGGCTTTAAAGAAGTTGTTTGTGTGTTAGGGGTCTACGCCCCAGTCATGTCTAAGCCCACTTTTATCCGAGAGCAGTTTTGGGAAATGGTAAGGATGGTGTTAATGAAGTGTAAGGGAAATGAAAATATTATTATGCTAGGAGATTTTAATGGAAGGGTTGGTCAGGAGGCTTGGTTATGAAAGGATATTGGGAACGTTTGGTGATGAAAGTATAAATGAGAATGGTGAAAGTCTCCTCACCGTATGTATGGAAAAGAATCTTTTTGTGACGAACACTTGCTTTCACCACAAGAGGATTCACATGTATACTTGGGAAAGAGGTGACGATAGAAGCATGATAGATTTCATAATTGTGGATGAAAGATTGAGGGGCGCAGTGGTAGATACGAGAGTTTACCGGGGTTCTAACGTAGGAACGGATCATTATTAGTTTTATGCCGAATTAATGGTCTATTCAGGCGTTGGCGCCATCGATCGTCTGTGTCTACCACTGCGCTGTAAGCGTATTCGAACAGAAAGGTTACAAAATGAAAGTGATAAAAACAAGTTCAAATGTAGACTGAAAGAAAATATAAGTGGTTTGGATGAATTATGTATGAAGGAGTTAGACTTGGAGAATATATGGCAAAATGTAAAGAAAGGTTTAGTGGATGCAGCTACCGAAGTATGTGGTGTTAGTAAGAGAAAGAATGAAAGGAAAAATAATACGTTATGGTGGGATGATGAGATACGTATGGAAGTTGAAGCAAAGAAGAGAGCATGGCTAGATTTACTAACAACAAAGGCTGCTAATTCTAGTGGTACGAATGGTGATATTGAAAGAAAAAAGGCAGTCTTTAGACATCTTAATAAGAGAGTAAAAGAAGTAGTTGAAAGAAAAAAGCAAGAAAGAACGGATAAGAATGATACAAGAATATCGGATAACTTCCAGGCAAATATTAAAATGTTCTGGAAACTTGTAAGAACTGCCAGGGGACATTCAAAACAGCCTATGATGAATGCTATAAGAGACGAGAATGGCTATATTCTGAATGATGAAGTTTTGAGTTTAAAGAGATGGAAGGAATATTTTGAAAGCGTTTTTATGAGTGAGGAGACAACGTGTGTACTAAGTGAAGTAGAAACACCGAAAGAAGAGGAAAGAGGTAGCGAGATAAGTATAGATGAAATAATGAAAGCAATGAAAAGCATGAAAGCAGGTAAGGCTGCCGGATATGATAGAGTTTCACTCGAAATGCTAAGAGCTGGAGAGGAAGTGGTTGGCAGGGCCTGCTGCACACCTTGTTTAATTTATGCTGGGAACTGAAGCGGGTACCGGTAGACTGGTGCAAAGCCGTGATAGTCCTAGTATATAAAGGAAGAGGGTCGCAGCAGGACTGTAAAAACTACCGTGGCATCAGCCTTCTTAGCATTGTGGGAAAACTGTATGCTAAGGTACTGATTGAAAGGGTCATGAAAGAAACTGATGGAAAAATTTGGGATGTGCAAGCGGGATTTAGAAAGGGAATGGGATGTACAGATCAAGTCTTTTCCATGCGCATGATCGCGTAGAAGTTTCTGGCCAAAAACCAAAAGGTTTTTTGTGCGTTCATGGACTTGGAAAAGGCCTATGACAGAGTGGATAGGGATTTGCTATGGCAAACACTGAACTCATTTGGGTTGAGCGCTGGATTGATACAGGCATTGGAGTTTCTTTATAGGGACTCTAGTGCTTGTGTTAGGATCAACGGGGTCTACTCGGACTGGTTTGACATCCATAAAGGTGTCAGACAGGGCTGTGTGGCTTCCCCGTGGCTGTTCAACCTATTTATGGACAGTTGTTTGGCAAAATTTGAAAGTTGAAGAATGCGGATTAAGAATGGGTGAGTTAACCATCAAATACCTTTTGTACGCCAATGATCAAGTTGTTCTTGCGTCGTCGGCGGCCGAGTTGCAAATGATGGTTACATTAATAAACGGATCATTAAAAGAAAGGGGTATGAAAGTGAACGCAAGTAAGACGAAGGTTATGGTTTTTGAAAGAGAAGAAAGTAAAACGATTTGTGAAATAAGAATAGAAGGGGAGTTGATCGAGCAAGTAGATGAGTTTGTATATTTGGGCTGCGTATTTAGCAGGATGGGAGATATGATAAGGATATAGAACGACGAGTGAATGCGGGAAATAGAGTAAATGGGGCCTTGCACTCTATTGTGAAGAGTCAAAATGTGTCGAAAAAGGCACGTATGGCGATTCACAATGCTGTGTTGGTCCCTACTTTAACGTATGGTAGTAAAAGTTGGGTGTGGCAGAAGAAGCACGAGAGTAGAATAAACGCAATATAAATGCGGTCGTTAAGGAGTATGTTAGGGCCGAATCTGAATGACAGGGTAAGAAATTGTGTAATAAGAGAAGAGTGTGGTTTGCAAGATGATGTTGTGACCACGATTAAGAAAGGAATGCTTCGGTGGTTTGGTCATGTGGAAAGAATGAATGAGGAATGAGTGACAAGGAAAATTTATGGTGCAGAAGTGAATGGCAGAGTCGGAAATGGACGTCCTAGGCGAAAATTTATCGACCAAATTGGCGATTTATTGAAAACGGGACAAATTAGGAGTACCCTTAACCGACGAGCATGTATGCGTAGGTGTATGGATGTCAAGGAGGCAAGAGAGGTGTGTCAGGATCGTGCCAAATGGAAGTCTGTAGTCTCTGCCTACCCCTCTGGGTGACAGGCGTGAGTGTTTATGTTTATGTTATATGTTATGTAAATATACTCTGTATTAAATTTTGTAGCATAGAAGTTTATTGTATACATATATATGTA